ATTTTTTTTTTGGGGGGGGGGGGGGATGGAAGTCAAAACCTTTGAGCCTCAATACATCTCGAGCGGAGAAAGATATCAGGGGCCAGTTTGGACGAAAAATCGTCTAAAATTGCATACTTTAAGATTCTAAAGGTCGAAATCCCGAAATCAAAAATTCAAGAAAACATATGTACTTTTTTTTCAGTTTTTAAGTCGAGAAAATTTCTTTTAAAGAAAAGACACACATCGTACTCAATTTTTATTTAAACCAAAACCAGTTTTTTAAATTATTCGTCTTTTTTTGCATCCAACAAGTGGCCCATTAAGCTGGGGAACCAATGGTTCCGGAGTTATGAGTGATTGAAGTTTCCGTTTAACGAGCGCCGACCGATTTTCGCATGCCAAAAAGCCGGATTTAGGAGTGAATAATTTGGATTAAATACAATTGAATGTTCAAACCGTGCAAAATACATTTTTAGGGATTCTTGTGGGTCGCTGAGTTCAGAGATTATAGATACTTCCAAAAAATTCACTTCCTTAAAATTTCAGCTTTGGAGCGCTACTTTAGAGGCCCGCCGGTCGGCGCTCGGTGGACCGCCCGAAGCCGGCCTTTCGGCGCGCGTTGAGCGGGAACTTCAATCGCTCATGACTCCGGAACCGTTTGGTTCCCCAGCTAAGTAGACCAATCGTTGGATGCAGAAAAAGATGAGCAATTGAAAAAACTGGTTTTGGTTTAAATGAAAATTTGAGGACTTTGTGTACCTTTGGTTTAAAAGAAATTTTCCCGACTCAAAATCTAAAAAAGAACACATGCGTTAACTTGAAAATTTGATTTTGGGATTTTGACCTTTAGAATCTTAAAGTATGCAATTTACGACGATTAGACGATTTTTCGTCCAAACTGGACCTCGATACCTTTTTCCGTCCGAAAGATATCGAGATTCACAGGTTTTGACTTCCACCTCCCTGGCGCCCCCCCCCCCCCCCCCAAAAAAAAAAATAATTTAAGGTGTCTAAAAAACCACCCCGCACACTCCTTATGAGAAAGTGCATCACAATCGATTCCTAATTTTTTTACTGCATTCAATTCATCTCAAGATTCTGATCAAAAGAGATCACGGCGCCAACTTTCTACGATGCATTGTTTTCGCACAATACGCCCGGAATTCAATTATTCGGCGCTAAAAAGTTAAAAATACTTAACAAAGCATTCGAGAACAGGTCTGATGTGAATAAGGAAAAATGTAGCGAGTGTCTGTCTTCTTATCTATTCCTGCCTACTCTGGGGCTATCTCCCTCCCGCTCTCGTCCGTTTGACGTTCACTGTTTTTCTCCGACTTTCCTGTTCTTATGCTCCTCACAAATCTGATTTGGATGGTCAAGCAAAAAGGCGCGCAGAATTCGAACAAATACTGCCGCTTGGTACTGGAGTTCCCCTGATTTCCTTGTTGACACACAGCCGGCCGTTCACTCGAGTGCTGAAATGAGGAATCTTTATGACTCTTTATCGCCGAATAATTGAAGCGTTCCGGGCGTATTGTGAGAAAACAGTGCATCGTAGAAAGTTGGCGCAGTGACACTTTTGATTAGCATCTTGAGATGAACTGAATGCAGTAAAAAAATTTAAAATCGACCGTGGTGCAATTTCCTATATGGAATGTGCAGGGTCCTTCGGAAAAAGAAGCACTCAAATATGAGTAATCAATAGACAGGGTTTGAAGAAATTCCGGGAAGGGGGGGGGGGAGCCGTCTTTGCATCAAGCTCTTTAAAATTCCCACGCATTTAAGAGATCATTATGGGGCCCAAAGGCATGAACAATCTACATCGAAATTCCATCGTATGTAATGAAAAACCCATTGAGTATATCTCGTCATTTTTTCATTTTATTTCCCTCTAAATCGCTTTTTCACTTTTAACCCATGCTCCTTCCTCCCATGTAATTTTACCCATTACTTCCTGGGTTAAACTTGACTTACATGTGATGTCAAGTGAATTACAACAGGTTATTTGCAGGAATTTTTTCGTCCATTTCATCTGCCTACATAGACTGACGGTGTCAGTGGACAGTGTCTTTGAAACTTGCACTAGAATAAGGGAGACGAAAACCTTATTAAACTGAAAAATAAAATTCGACTGCATTCTGTAGTAAGACATGTGCGAGTTCAATGAGTCGTATAGCGTACCTGGATCATCCATTTTTGATATGTGGCAATCAAGGACGGAGGAAAGCTATATTGAAAAATTAGAGAAGGAAAAAAGATAAAATTCAAGATACATTGAACAAAGTTCAAGACTTAAAATACTGATGTATTCCTGCACCTGTTTTACTTCATGGTTTTCCCTCGATTCCATCACCAAAGAACAGAACTTATTAGCAATACTTTAAGTGTCAATAAGTTACGTAAGGAAGAAACATTTTTTTAAAAAAATAGCTGTGACTTGTTACTCTTTGTACCACTACTTATAGACCGTGGGCCAGCAAAGGGTAACACCCCCCCCCCCCCCCGGTGAGAATTTTGAAAAAGGTGATTTTCTTGAAGCTCTCGACTAGTAGAATAAGATTTTTCTTGTTTACGCGAATTCCATCGTGGTGGGAGGGGCCCATAAACCCCCCAAAATTGCTCTGAATCCCGACTTTTCCGCGAATTTTCCCATTTTTCTCGAAAAGGCTTGATTTAAAGTCAAAACTCCAAATAAACAATCTGAAAGCTCGTAAAATTTTGGGTTAGTTAAGTTGTGTTTGACTTGGTCCATGACCTGCGGCAATCCCAAAATGGGGGGGCCTAAATGTCAAAATATCTCAAATGCCCGCGAAAGCAAAAAAATGAAAGCAAGTAGCGTTTGTTCTGAGAGAACATCAATGTGGATTCTTGTGGAAGGTGACAGGGGGGAGGGAGGTACATTAGGGTGGCCCAATTATACACAGCAAAATTTATTTAGCAAATTTTTTTGGTCTTACCCCCTAGAACTGTTCCATTTGATCAAAAACCACTCTCTGCCAAGTTTCAGCCAAATCGGATAATATTAACCCGTGCCGACAAAACCATCTATTTTATATTGGATTTTACATTGGAAAACACTTTTTTCCAGAAAAATCCATTTTTCGAAAAATGTGTAATTTCTAGAAAAAATCTGAGGTAATATTCGGCTTCAGCAGGAAAAACTGAGAGGGGAAACATATATTAGACACTTCAAAAAAAATTTTAACCCCTCGTTATAGCGGCGAAACAACTTAAACATCTAGAAAACACTAAAAAAGGGTAAAATGACGGTGATAAATCCCAAATAATTACGTACGTCTGTATCCGAAAACGAAGCTCAACATATAGTAGGTGTAACATGGGTACTTTTTTACGCTGAGTCCGAAAATGCTATCCATTTTGCTCTATTCCATCAGGATTTTTCGGAAATTCGATTTCCTTGTATAAAAAGAGAGTTTTCCGGGGAAAACTCAATTTTCAGGATATAAACCTCATCATGTGACGGATGTCTTTCATGTGTTTTTCAACGTTGAGTCCGAAAATGATGTCAAAGTTGCTCCATTACATCGGGCTATTCTGGAAAATCGATTGTACCGAGTTTTCTGTGGAAAATTACCATTTTTACGGGAAAAATGTAGTTCCTCAGAAACTCTTAGTGAAATAGAGGGAAACGGTAATGATTTTCGAATTCACCGGTAAACAACACACCAAAAACATACATTACAAGTCTATCTATATACATGGTAATTTTCCACAGAAAACTCGGTACAATCGATTTTCCAGAAAAGCCCGATGTAATGGAGCAACTTTGACATCAAATTCGGACTCAACGTTGAAAAACACGTGAAAAACATCCGTCATATGTTGAGGTTTATATCCTGAAAATTGAGTTTTCCCCGGAAAACTCTCTTTTTATACAAGGAAATCGAATTTCCGAAAAATCCTGTTGGAATAGAGCAAAATGGATAGCATTTTCGGACTCAGCGTAAAAAAGTACCCATGTTACACCTACTATATGTTGAGCTTCGTTTTCGGATACAGACGTACGTAATTATTTGGGATTTATCACCGTCATTTTACCCTTTTATAGTGTTTTCTGGATGTTTAAGTTGTTTCGCCGCTATAACGAGGGGTTAAAATTTTTTTTGAAGTGTCCAATACATGTTTCCCCACTCAGTTTTTCCTGCTGAAGCCGAACATGACCTCAGATTTTTTTCTAGAAATTACACATTTTTCGAAAAATGGATTTTTCTGGAAAAAAGTGTTTTCCAATGTAAAATCCCATATAAAAAAGATGGTTCTGTCGGAACGGGTTAATACACCTGCGAGCGATACACCTGCGAGCTAGACGCGCGTGTGGGCTTTCGGCTGTGGTCGGCAATCTTCGTAGCCAATCAGGTTGCAACTCGCCGCCCAAAACTCGCTCAAAGTAGGTGGCGGTAGCCACCTCCGGACAAAGTCTAAACTCGACAACACTGGAAAGCGTCCAAACGAAAAAGGTGGCAGCCAACCATAGACACACGTAACTCCCTTATTCTGAAAATTGATTCGGCTCTACATCGACTGCAGCCCAAACGACGGCACGGATTCCAACGATCTTGGTGTCTACTGACGCACTTCTAAATTGGGCCTAAAAGGTGGGAAAGTTTCATCAAGATCCATGGAGTAGTCGTATTTTGTTCGGAGGCAACACTCGCAACATGTTGTAAAAACGAGCAACAATCGCATTTTGTGCGAAGTTGTTTTGTGTTGTGGGGGCGGGGCTTATTTTCGTGCGCAAAATTTGGGAACCCCTACAGCAACATTGTTGCACAACAACTGCAACGTGCTCAGAGCAGGTCGCTTTTATGTTGTTCAAGAAAGCAACGCTGATTTCTAACCTAAAATTGGAAGTTGCTCTCTCATTGGTTGTTCAGAATCGCGTAAAAAGAAACAAGAAAAAAACGGAAACATTTTGTTGTTTCGAACAAAATACGACTAGTTTTCAAAAAGTGTTAAGCACTTAAAGGCCCAAACTAACAAATATTTTTTGTAACATGGGCCGTTTAGTAGCGGGTAACCGACATGATCACCTTTCACAACAGATTTCTTGCTTACACGGCCACAGATTCTAATGGAACCTTTACAGGCACTGCTTGAAGATATAAGGATTTCATTTCTACCACATTTAATAGGGTTTCAGTGCTCGGATAATTCAGCATCTGCAAATAACTTTCAAAATTTTAGCTATAATGTTTTGAATTTCGAAAAAAAACTGGTAGTGGTTCAATGCCATTGGGCGATTCCGTTCAGTTCACCCAGGCCAGCCCGTGTTTCGGGAACGAAATTCCCCTCGTTACCAACTTCTAACTCTAACTAGTTGAGAACAGATTCATGGTTTAATATAATATAAGAGTTCAATTCTCTGTAGAAGCTAATCACACTTATATTATTACGTCGCACGTCTTCTGCCAGAGCCTGATACACTATTTCATTAGTTTCTCTTAAAATGTTCAAGTGATGTCTTTATTCAGAAGTGAGGTTATCAGTCCGTGTATCTGTCTGACCCAAGCATCAATAAATGTAATTCAGGTAAATTACGGCGATTAAAGGACACCAAAGTTGTGCCAAACTATCAAAAGGAAGCAGGATTTACACCACAGTTTGCATTCTCGTGACTAACAGCATCCAAATATTTCCCTACCATGCACACCAATGGATCGAAGGGAGAGCCCATTACTCTCAGTTTTTAATTACATTATTGTTTTCCTCAAGTCATGAATGCTAGTATCCATATCTTGAAGAGATGTAGTTGTTTTCAGTGGACCCTTTCAATCTCAAGAAAAGATCTAAAAATTACTGTAATATGAGCCTTCGCCCATCACACTACTTGCGACACGGTCACTATGCTCTGACCAAAATTTATTCGCTTTAAATTTTTCTTTCAACCTACGTGCTCTGGAGTGCTTGTGCTTTTCGTAAGTGTATGTTATTGACATTAAGATCTTGTGTTCGTCATGACTAATCTTGGAAAGCTTTCGCCTCTTACCGTTGCTTGTTTACATCGAAGACATCATGGGGATATGCGGGGATGCGAGGTATAATTCAATCACTAAGTCAACTTTATGTCCCTAAATCAGAGATCTTTGACGATGAGTATTAGCTCAAGTTTGGTTTTCTTCGAGTCTCTTTGATTTTGCGTCAGAAGTTGTTAGAAACACCATGTGGCCAGTCAATGTGTAAGAAAGTCTTTCATGAAGGGTATGTACTCGTTCTATTTTCTCAGCTTGATGATTACTATAAAATCAAGAATTTATATTGCTGCATAAATCGCTGGGCCAAGTAAGTACATAGCGCCCATTCCTCCTCTATTTTAACATATGAAAACTTGATGTAAACATATCAAATAGTGAGGTTATGTTATGGACTTACACTGGTGGTGCAGCTACCGACTGTTAGATAATAAACCCTTAAATGCCATCCGGCTAACTAAAGGCCTAGATACACACGGCGATTAATCGCCGCGATTGCAATCGCGGCGTTTAAACGCAGGTGTATTCGGTCAATCGCCGCGACGGGCGAGTGAAATTCTCGGAATTTCTCNAAAAACGATGAAAAATACGGGATAATTTCACTAAGATGGATGTTATGTGCTACTACAATGTTCTCTACGTAACTCGTCAGCTTTTCATAGAGTTCCAAAACTTTCGTTACCGGGGAAATCATAAATTTTCTTAAAATTCTAGCTTTCCTCCATAAGAGACCGTTGAAATGTTTTGCCTAACTTCGGCATAACCTTATTCACCGATGGATGGTATGTTGTTAGTTGGTGTTGAATCGCGGCGATTAATCGCCGTGTGTATCTAGGCCTTTAGCTGCGTCCATTGACATCAAGATCGTTGGAATCCGTGTCGCCGTTTGTTCTGAATTCCATTCTATATCGAATCAATTTTCAGATTAAGGAAGTTAGGTGTGACTAAGAGTGTCGGCCCCCTCGACCGGGGGTGGCTACCGCCACTCTTGATGTGAAAATATTGTCGTGTTGTTGGTTGTTGTGTCACAGAAGTATTCCATCTTTACCTAGTGAGTTTCTAGCATAATTACTCCAGTGAAACAGTGCACTCTGAAATTAATTGAGCAATGGGTCTATGTACGGTTCGCGTGCCTACCCAGTTCTTAATGGAATAAATGTAATCGGGTGAATCAAAGCCAAAAAAGATAGACCAATCGGTAGCGTTTATGATCAAAAAGTTTGCGCCTAGGTACCAACTGCGGAACATGCTCTGATGAAGAGTTTGGGGGTGGTGTTTTTAGTCCGACAGTGGACAACAAAATTACTAGGAATTCTTGAACTACCAGGTAACTGAGAGGTAGTCTTCATTATCTTTTATGAATCAAAAGACTCCATTACAATTTATACTTTCTTCATGCCAGTTATACGATTCGACAAATTATGTGGTGAAGCGACTCTGAGCAAAATAAATAAAAATATTCTCTGCTAGCGTCAATATAGGTATACTGTATCAAGAGTGGTCGTAGCCACCCCCGGTGGTATTACAGTGTAGTATTTGCAACAAGTTTTTCTCTTTTTCAATTAATTTTCTGACTGAGGCCATTGTAACTTGAGGTTGAAATTCAGTCGATTATTACCTGAATCGTTCAAGTTCAACGGAGTGCATAATAGGTATATGTACAATTTTCTAATCTTCATGTTTCAAGTCACATTCCTAGACGTTATACTCTGTTAAAAGAAAAAATACTTTTGTGGCCGATGGAGCTTGGCTTGACGCACACTTTTATTGATAAATTAAATACCTCTTACAGGAAATACTTTTTATAATGAGTGAACCAAAAAAAAAAAATAATTTTAACTCTTTGAATGGACTTTCCACTTAGTGGTCTCACTGTTATTTAATTTAAAATTTTAGTGGCTGAATGTAAGTATGTCCAACAGTTGAGTTAAACGCAGTAAAAATTGCAGAATTAATGTTGAAACTTTATGAGTAAGAAATAATTTATGCGGCAAAAGAAGTTCATTCTAAGTAGCCTACACTATGACAATTAATTAAGCCATCAGTTTTTAAAACATTATGTAGGTACCCTATTTCGATGAGAGAAGTTTAAACTCACCAAAACATCAGGTAACTTTTATTGATTGCAAACTGAATCACTCCTATTAATGTTTAGTTGATCAAACAAGGAGTTCCAGTTCTGCTCATTGAAAATATTATTCTCAGTTTCTCTGTCTCCAGCCAAATGTTTCATTAGCTTCACATCATTCCAAAAACGACCTGATATAAAAACTACAAAAAACCCCAAAAAACTGTCAGATTCTAAGGGGTAAAGAATCCGGTCAAAGTCTTAAACTTGTTGAACCAAATTTTCTTATTACTCCTAAAAGAAAATTAAAAATTATACTTTGCTGAAAATCGAATGTGGGCCCCTTCATTTATGAGGGATGCAACAGTCATGACGAGTAAGTATGTTTAGCCCTTGCAGGAGCCCCCTACCTCACCTATTTGCATTTTTATCTAAAGTAAAAAAAAATAGTCGGTAAGGATTGATCTGAGCCTTCTATGTGCTCCAAAACAATACGACGGTGAAAGTCGGCAATCACATAACTCGTTTGCGGTGTCTGAAAATCTCCGCCTCTACGTCATTTTTTTAAAAGAGAACAAATTGATATTATTTCTTGAAGTTTTTGCAGAATTTTCTTCGCATTGAGAAGAAAATTCATGAAAGTTTTAAAGAATTGCCGTTGAGTAGTTTTCCATTTAAAAAATAAAGTATGACAGGAAGTCTGCGACGTCGCAAACCGAGTTATGTGATTGCCGACTTTCACCGTCGAATATGAAATATTTTATCGCACAAAGTCCACAGTTCGATTCAGGTCCTACAAATGCTTTTAAAAGATCATGAAAAAAAATACTCAATCGGCTGGCTAAAGTCCAGTATTTTTCTTGAGAATAGTCTCCTCCTTCAATGAGTGATGCAACAATTGCGACATTTTTGTATGAAAAGCCCTTGCAGAAGCCTTTTAATTTGACTCAGCTAAATTTTGAATAATCACTAACGTGTCCGCAAAAATTCGTAAAAAAGATAGGTCACTGAAATTAATGCTTCATAGAGATATCTGAGGATCCATGTCAAAACCCTCTTACCTATTCTACTCTGCGTAGAAAATAAAAACGCCATTTTCAACCATGATTTTTGTTTTTTTAAATCTTCATTAATTTTCTCTTAAAACAATTTTCAATATCTAGGTAATCTGGAGTCCTTTTCGTGATGATCAGTTCATTATGCAGTGGTATATGATACAATGTTATGATAGCTTCCATTTGCATGCATATTAAACTGCAGCATCATAAGTTGAGATTAAAAATATTATACAATAAATAAGTTTTGGGAGAAAGCAAAGGAAGAATGATACGCTCGAAAAATACGCTGCAAGCAATCTTCCAGCAAGCAGAGGGGACAAATGCTAATGATTACAGTAAGAGCATTTTTGCGGACACGTCAGTGATTCTTTAAAATTTAGCTGAGTCAAATTAAAAGGCTTCTGCAAGGGCTTTTCATACAAAAATGTCGCAATTGTTGCATCACTCATTGAAGGAGGAGACTATTCTCAAGAAAAATACTGGACTTTAGCCAGCCGATTGAGTATTTTTTTTCATGATCTTTTAAAAGCATTTGTAGGACCTAAATCGAAAAATATTGGACTTTGTGTGATAAAATATTTCGTATTGTTTTGGAGCACATAGAAGGCTCAGATCAATCCATACCGACTATTTTTTTTTACTTTAGATAAAAATGCAAATAGGTGAGGAAGGGGGCTCCTGCAAGGGCTAAACATACTTACACGTCATGACTGTTGCATCACTCATAAATGAAGGGGCCCACATTCGATTTTCAGTAAAGTATAATTTTTAATTTTCTTTTAGGAGTAATAAGAAAATTTGGTTCAACAAGTTTAAGACTTTGGCCGGATTCTTTACCCCTTAGAATCTGAAAGTTTTTTGGGGTTTTTTGTAGTTTTTTCCTACTCTTTGAGTCAAGACGCGCGCGCAGCGCGCAGGTGTATCTGGCCCTAGAGGAATGTGGTTAGTCCCGGATTCTGCCGTAGGCGAACTGATGCGCAACATATCGCAACTACCTAGTCAAAAATCTTGGCAGATTTTGAATATTTAACCCAAACGAAGGAAGACAGACCCTGCGCACAGTGTCCCGAAAGTGACTTTTAATGAACTTTGAATGTGAATCAAGAATTCAAGTTGGAGGTTGTAGTGGGGTCCTCCCTGATGAGTATTTTGGCAATTTCGAAATCGGAGCTCCAGGAAAAATAATCGCATTTGTGTGGTTGTTTTAGGGTTCAAATAACTATGGCTTAGGGGTACAAGTGAAACTTCCCCTCCCTCATTCTTGCCTTGACCGAAGTGAAGTGTTGGTACTCGTATGTTATTATTACCTAGTATGAGATGCATCTTTCCTAAAATTTTCATGCCTGTGCAAGCTTTTTTGGCCCCCCTGGCAGCGTTGCCAAGTTGCGGACTCCAAAAAATCAAATTCGATGGTAAAATGAAGGTTTCAAGGTGGTAGATTCATTCAAAATGAAAAATTGAAATTGAGGCCATGGCACAGTACCTATCGCGGGAAACAAAGTTTTGAGAAAATTGTTTTTGAAGTTCAGATTATGAGATGCGCCGCTAAGTTTGCGCTGTGGGAAAACTGCAAAAACATTTTTTTGTAAATGGTATACCCTTTGAACAATCCGCTATGCGTTTTGGGACAATATTTCAGTTATCACTTTAAAATAATTGATTTAAAACATGATCTACTTCAGCCTTATTTTTAACTTATTTTATTAAAGACTGCCGAGATTTTTTACTTAATTAATCGACGCTATCCAGGGTGTCCGGATGTCAACGTACTTACCTTTCACGATCGATTTTTCGATTCAAAATATGCCTTTTTTCTAATACACATATGCCCGAAAACTCCTCATAAGTGAATCATCACAGTACGTCGCCATCTTGTTTCTTTCAAATTGATGCAACTCCTAGTTATTGTGTCGTAAGTAGCTGAAACTTGGTCTATGTGGGTGTTATCTGGCGTAGTGTTCAATTTTTGTATTATCAAGGGCGTACGTCTTCGAAAAGTAATGTTACGAACGTTCCCGAATTTTAAAATTGCGATAACTTTTTCAGCAGATGATACTTGGAGAAACGGATTACGGCACGTGCGAAAGCGCGAAAAATCAAGGGCGCAAAGAAGGTACCGCACAAAATTTTTCAGAAAAGCGTCACTTCGACGCAACAGAACTTAGAAAAAATTTCCGATTTTCGAAGCTTCTTTCTGGGTAGGCAATTTTTACTACAGGAAAAATTGCCCACGGAGCAAAAGGCTTCGTGAATCCGAAGATCCGTCACGATAGCTTCGGGATTTTCGAAGCCCCTTGCTCCAAGGACAATTTTTCCGACAGTCCCTGCAGTAAAAATTCCCTATCCAGCAAGGAGCTTCGAAAATCTGAAACTTTTTCAACGCTCTATTGCGTCGAAATGATGCGTTTCTGGAAAATTTTGTGTGGTACCTTCTTTGTGCCCTTGATTTTTCGTACTCTCTCAAGTACCGTAATCCGTTTTTTCCAAATATCTTCTGCTACAAGTTATCGCAGTTTTAAAATTCGGGAAGGCTCGCAACGTCATTTTTCGAAGATGTACGTCCTTGAAAACAAAAAATTAACAGCACGCTAAAAAAATACCCCCACACACAAATTGTTAGCTATTTACGACAAAATAACGAGGAGTTGCATCCATTTGAAAGAAAAAAGAAGGCAACTGTGAGAGCGCATAGCTCACTTAAGAAGAGTTTTCGGGCATATGTGAATAGGAAGAAAAGTAATATTTTGAGCCGAAAAATCGATCCTGAAAGTTAAGTACGTTGACTTCCAAACACCCTGTATATGTATATTGTAAATCTTACGCCAGTTCGACCACAACAGAATCCGGGACGAATCAGGGGTCTGAGGGCATAAAAGGTTGACGAGGATCTGTAGGTGTATTACCTTGACTCCGGTGAGTCCCTGTGAGGTGTCCGAGGCTGGGCGACTGTCGTGCGCGGTTCCTCAGCGCCTTGTAGCGACGGTACTTGATGCAGATGCCGACGATCAGGATCAAGACCAGGCATAGAGCTGTTCCCACGGTGGCGCCCACCGCCACGGCCAGCGTTTGCCCGGAGAGCGCGATTCCGCCTAGGAACAGCGACTCTGCAACACAGCGTTCAATACTTTCATTTAGCAAAAAAGAAAATTGACCAAAACACCTGCACATTCTCAAACATGCATTAAAGAAGCATAAATCCTAGAATTATAGACATTTTTGAAGTTCTCAGTGATTTTTTCGGATGTACTTGTACAACTACTCTAACCGCGTTAAGATCTGTACACTATCAGAAGGCTCTTTTGAGAAAGTTATTGATTACGATAGATATACCGAAATTATGGATGTACATATAAAGTTTTTTACTTTAAATAATGGCAGAACCGCGACCGGTATAAGGTGCCTCGGGAAATGCCATCACGTCGCGCCTCTTGATTCGCGAAGGCCATAAGGCATCTTTGTCCATTTCATACGCACCTTTTTAACACGTGGAAACAGGGACCACAAATAAAACGAGATGCCGTGCATTACAGAATGCCGAACTCCAGCGGGTGACGCACTAGTAGCGCGCCACACGCCCTCTGTCGTCTAACCCCAGACGAGACGCGCATCAGAGATAGACGTATTGAATATGCTAAGAGGCTTTGACGTTGTATTGTGTAATTTTGAGAAAAACGGGCGAAATTTCAATTCCTAAGTAGTTTTCACTATCTGTGTGTTTAACAGTTTGATGTAAAAATACCAAAAAGTAACAATGTTTTACGCGTCTATAATCGCAAAATTTCTATTTTTGGTCAGATATGATGAATATTTGCCCATTTTCAGCGGTAAATTCGAAATTAGGACTCTAATTATGACTACGAGGGGATTGTGAGTAGAAACAGGAAATTTCAGACGACAAGTACCATGATGCGATGCGTTACTTGTTGAACTCGAAGAGTTTTAAATCGTGACTTACGAGCAGAAGTACATTAAAGTTGGTATCTCGCTTGCGAAATTGGAATTTCAAAAAGAGAGGAGGAACTTAAAAGGGATCTTCAACTTTTGCGCAATGCAATCTGAGTAAGATCAATACATCCCAAATTTTAACCATTAAGTGAATTATTTTGAAAAAATCTAAATTTTAGTCTGCAGATAAATCATTGGAGAATGTTCGTACCGAAAATCACCCTCGAAAATCTCAAAACAAAGTCAAAAGTACTGTTGCAAATTAACCATCGATATCGATACATTGAAATTGGTTGCAAAATGGGAAGAGTACTTTTGACTTTATTGAAGATTTCGGAAGATGACTTTCCGCAGGAACATTCTTTAATGATTCATCTACAAACTGAAGTTTAGACTTTCCCAAAATATTTCACCTAAAGGTTAAACTTGGAGATGTATCGATCTTACCCAGAATGCTTGCACAAAAGCTGGGGATCCACCTTATCGTTTCTGATAGTACCGTCATTTTAAATTTTGGCCGCCATTTTGAGGCTGAAAATGAAGACTTCAGTGCCAAATCTCCCCAAACTACTTTATGTTCAGGGGGAAATATCTGAAAGATTTTAAGAAAAATGTAACGAGGTTTTTGCCCTGGGGTTTGGTTGGGTTTGGTGAGGTTAACACACTTTGACCTAGGGGTGCAGAAACTTTCAAGGGTTCCCCCAAAACAAATTTAGGTTCCCCCATTTTAAGTTTTCGCAGAATTTTGCGCGACACATAAAGTAACGCGGTCGACAATTGGGTTTCCTTAAAACAGCGTGGTCAACAGTTTGGTTCCCCATTAACAGCGTGCTTGAATGTTTAGTTCCCCCAAAAACAGCGCGCTGGACAGTTAGGTCCCCCCTAAATCCTAAAAAAAAAACCTTCCCAGGTTCCCCCAGTTTTTTCCTCATCGTATGGGTTCCATCATTTTCCCCATCCTCACTTGGGTTCCCCCAGTTCACGCGAACGGCCGGTCGCGTAGTCGCGTGGTTGGGAAGTTTCTGCACCCCTGCTTTAACCCAATGTAGGCCATGCCTTTTAATCCTTTCTTATGAGAAAAAAAAAACCTTCCATTTCAGCGCACGTCCAGGCAACTTTCTTGAGACGTTACAATTTTTCTCCGTCCCTCTCGACCTCGAGGAGTGATGAGGTATTTACATCTAGTTAAAAATAAATAAAAATTAAGTATATACGTGTTTTTTTTTCTTGGTCTTTTGAATGAGGTGTCATAAATAGGAGGTTGCCATTCGAAACGAAACGAAAGTTGCCCCGCACCTCCCTTCGAGGGGGCCCACCGAAAAGTTGCGGCTGTAGACCTAAGAACACCTCCGAAGTTTCAAATGTCAACGTAAATTAGGAAAAATGTAACAGAGGTGGTAGGTGGGGTGTCGCCCGATTCCCTCCCAACACTCCCTCCCGGATCCGATTCCCTCCCAACATTCCCACCCAGGTCCGATTCCCTCCCAATAAATTATGTGTAAAATAAAGGCGGCAACGTCGCAGCAATGAAAACAGACAGAACGTATGAAAAAAAATGTAAACTCACCAAAGTGCTAAATTGTGCAGCAGAGACTGGATAATCGGATGTTTCTTTCATAAATGATGAATTCGGCGGGTGTCCGGCTCGTCAGACATATTCATTTTGAGAGACATTCATCGTCATTGTCGTAAAAAACTGAACGGGGTTTTAAATAATCGAAATAGCCCGCCGCGTCGCAAAATTATAAAAGTCTTACAAAAAATATTTGGCGAGTTCTTTAGAGACATGGTTCGAATGAATTTAAAAAAAGTTTCATCGTCAGGATCTTTAGAGATCGTGGCAATGGCTGCTTCTAAAACTGTAAGAGGTGTGTGAAAAAACGGCCAAAAATGCCTCAAGGCATTCTCGAATTTTGAACACTTGGAATGATACAGTGTCTTTCGAGACGTCCAAAACCGGTCGCCGTTTTGCTTAGAAGCGCCGGGTTGCGACGTTGCCATTTTTTACATAGGAAACCTTTAAAAATTCATATCTCCGCTGCATCTCAACCGATTTTAATGAACTTTTTTTTAAAATGTTCCTCTTAAATAGAGCTTTCTAATGGTGTTTAGTTTTCTGGGTTTACTTGGCTTTAAGGGGCACTTGCGCGGTTTTAGCAGTTTTTGACAGACACAAAAAATTTGTTTTTATTTTACCACGGTCGTGAAATCGACGGAATCTGAACATAAACCAGTCAAAGTGAGAGTTCAGGTTCTCACCTTTCTAACGAGCACAAGATCATCCCGGGAAACGTTTGGTTTCCGAGATATGACCGCTCGAAGTTGGTCACATGCGCTTTTGCGCAATGTGAATGCATCTTATCACTGAATCATTCGTGAACTAGGGGTCCCTTACGTTCAATTTACGTTGAAATAATAACACAGAGCAGTAAGGTGTCCAACACGAACCGTTTTTTCACCTTCGGCTGACGATGTGCGACGTTGCCATTTTTTGAAGTGAAAACTCTTAACTGAAACTCTTAACTGGAAGTGAAACTCCGCTGCGCATTTCAACCGATTTCAATGAACTTTTTTTTTAAAATGTTCCTCTTAAATAAAGCTTTCTAATGGTACTTAGGTCTCTGGATTTTATTGAATTTAGGGCGGCACTTAGGTCGTTTATATGGTTCTTTGCAGTGATTTTTCATTCAAAAAATAGTGTTTTTTCCGTGCCGTTTTTTCACACACCTCTTTTCTTAACGGCGCGGCGTTAGGTCGGAGTTTTGCCTCGGTGTGATTGGCGGAGTTAAGCGTTATGAGCGAGTCACGGAAGATGTTTCGTAAAACCTCGATGTATGGACGGATATTAGGATGACATTTATAAAAATAAGAATTGTAACGGACGTAAAAAATTTCGCTTGCATTCGTTGTTTTTGAGGCTGCTGCTGTACCCGCAGGGTACAAGGGTCCATCATCCTGCGTGCAAGTTGTCAGTGATAGTGTCACTGGTGGTGTCCACCTGTATACATCGCGCGACGTTGCCGTTTTAATTTTACACAAAATTTATTGGGTGAGAATCGGATCCGGGAGGGAATCCTGGGACAAAATCGAATCCGGGAGGGACTTTTGTACTACCCTGTATTTCATTTAACTTCTTGTGACCAACGTGACATTTCAAGGATGATCTCAGCTTGGAGGACAAGGACATTGAGTGCAGTTTATGCCGTAAGTATTTAAAGAAATACGTCTCTAAAGTTTGAAATTACGAGCTTGATTCAGAAAATAAATTAAAACTCACTTTTTCATGCTTAAAAAGTTGAATTTAGTAGTGAGGTTTTCATGGAATATATGTAGAGAACAATAAGATCATAAAAATCTCAATGTTTTCCAAGACTTCATTTATGCGCTTTGTCTTCCACGCTCCTATATTATTGAACCATGATAACACGATTCTGTGATGCGCGCAAGTGATGAATGGGATCGAGCACAGGTATTCTTGAAGTGCAAATAAAAGATTTCGGCGAGGAACAGACGGGCGATAAGGTGAGTGGGGCGAAACGAACGATGCATTAGTCAGCGGGAACCCTGGCCGTCCAAATGCGGATCAGGCCGAGAGCCCAACGAGGCAGATCACGGCACGAGTTGTTTAATTACCACTTTCACCTGACTGGAAATAACAGAGCGCCCGGCTGAAGGACAGGATTCCGAATCTACAGTTCAAGATCATAACAAAAATCAATACTACATCATAGCGCCGTCGTCGCACATCACTCTAAATGAAACATCCCACGGGTGCTTTAAAATATGCCCTACGATAGAACAGGTACCCTTGGATAGCTGTAATAACCCCCTGTTCGTCAAAAAATTTATATCGGGAAAATAACAGTTGGGTTCATTGTCGGGATTGGTAATCTTGGAAGTGGGGGAAAAAAACATAACGATTCTTGAGTCCTACGGAGGAAAATTGATTAATTTCTTGGTAAGAAGGAAACCAAACATATTTATGGGTGAATACATTAATGGAATAGTTTCTTAATGAAAACATCACCATTTCATCTAGAAAATACATGTGATCCGTCAACAGATAGATAATAGATAGATCAATATGTTACTAAGAAATACATCTATTATCATTGGTCGGACTTTTGATTTCACAATATCATTTCATTACCATTTTCAT